TATTTAAGAAAAGATTTCATCTAAACTTGACATTTGTGAAAAAACTGGATCATTAAAAAAAATGAAACAAGAAATACAGAATTTTAAAAAATAAGACACCTCTGAGATCAGTTATTTCAATGAATCCATGGTATAGACATGGAAACTGAGTTCCAGATGGCCAACCACACAGGTTGTTAGTGCCATGACTCCAACCTTCACCCAGCCCAGGGCTTGCCCTGCCAAACTGGGCTGAAGATATTCAAAAAACTGCCATGGTGGAAAAAAATCTGGTCACCAAGAAGTCACATATCACCATCAACAGAAGGTTAATATAAGTAAACTGAAACAAATTCTCCTAGCTCATACAAACCATGAAATGCAGACGGAGCCCAGCCAATGAACCTCAAAAAAGACAGAACCCAGCCAGATAAGGGTTCAGATGAGGATAACCGAAGGGAACACAGGCACAGAGGCACTTCTGTATTCGATTTATGCTTTTTTCTCTAAGTAATGTTCTGTTGGGGATAGTTGTTGTGGCATAGCAGGTTAAGCCACCGCCTGTGACACTGGCATCCTGTATAAACACTGGTTCAATCAGGTCTTCAAAGAAGGAGGTACCTTTCTCTGAAGGGAGGAGAGAACCTCCACTTTGACTATGACCTTGTCTAAATAAGATAAGAGTCGGAGAACCCAAAAGGCTTCCATAGCCTTGGAAACTCATGACTGGAGCATAGGGAGATTACAGAAGTGTCAATTTGTAAAGTCAACAACAGGAGTCACTGTGCACTTACTCCTCATGTAGGATCTCTGTCCTTAATGAGCTGTACATTGAGATTTAATGCTATAACAAGTACTCAAACAGTATATTTCACTTTGTGTTTCTATGGGGGTGCAAACTGTTGAAATCTTTACTTAATGTATACTAAACTGATCTTCTGTAAAAAAAAAAAAAAAAAAAAAAAAAAAGAAATTATCAATTCCCAACTTGACTCTCACTGGGATTAAACATGACAATAGGTCTGATCTGATTTCATCATCATTTAAAAAATCATCTATTATTTTTCACTTTATGTTTCTGTGTGGGAGCAAACTGTTGAAATCTTTTCTTAATGTATGCTAAACTGATCTTCTGTATATAAAGAGAATCGAAAATGAAGCTTGATGTGAATGGAAGGGGAGAAGGAGTGGGAAAGGGGAGGGTTGTGGGTGGGAGGGACGTTATGGGGGGGAAGCCATTGTAATCCATAAGCTGTACTTTGGAAATTTATATTCATTATATAAAAGTTAAAAAAAAAAAAAACACTGGTTCAAGTCCCATCTGCTCCATTCCTAATCCAGCTCCCTGCCAACGTGCCTGGGAAAGCAGTAAAGATGGCCCAATTACCTTAGTCCCTGCCACCACGTGGGAGACTCAGATGAAGGTGCAGGCTTCTGGCTTTGGCCTGATTCAGCTCTGGCTGTTCTTGCCATAGAACCAGTAGATGGAAGATATTCTCTCTCTCTCTCTCTCTCTCTCTCTCTCTCCTCCCCTGTACCTTTTTAAATAAATAAATAAATCCTTAAAAACTGCAATAATAACTACTAATGTCATTATTTTAAAAACAGACATGGTTGAAAAAATTTCAAAAGCATGAAGAAACATTAAATTCAGAAGTATCAAAGCCAGAGGTGGGGATCTAGGGGAGAGCTCCCCTTTAGCCCTGAAATACAAGCACTCTTCCATAAAGCAGGCAGTAAACTTATGAGAAATATGAATATGGTTTAGTTCAGACACTGTTACAAGCCTTTGGGTCCAACACAATTGTGTGTATGAAGCTACAACACAAGCATGTGTGTATGAATCACAACACAGAGTTTACAGTCTAGCAGGCAAAGCCTGATGTGGTGGTGGGCCCTGTTGTAATACCTATTGCCCAGAGTCATACGATGCATTCCCAACTCAGGTCCAAAACCTGCCATGATAGAGGTATGCTTGGTGTAGGATGTATATGCAGACTGCATGTGTGCCACGAAGGGCCAGGGTAAGTGACTGCCAGGAAGGATGCTCTGGTTGAGATGATACTAGACCCAAGTCTTGAAAAGGCATGGTGGTGGAGGGAAACAGGCAGATAATGAACACAACAGAAGGAGAAAGGGAACAACAGTGGACCAATGGGCAAGGAGGCAGTGCACAGCACCAGGGTATTCAGCGCCTACAAGACTTTTTTTTTTTTAAGATCTATTTATTTATTTGAAAGGCAGAATTACAGAGAGGCAGAGGGAGGGAGAGAGAGGCCTTCCACCTGCTGGTGGCCTGCAAGGCTGGAGCTGGGCCAACCTGAAGACAGGAGCCCAGAGCTTCTTCCAGGTTTCCCACATGGGTTCAGAGGCCCAAGCATTTGGGCCATCTTCTACTGCTTTCCCAGGCCATAGCAGAGAGCCGGATGGGAAGAGGAGCAGCTGAGATTCAAACTGTTGCCCATATGGGATGGCGGCACCACAGACCAGGGCTTTAACCCACTGCATCACAGCGTTTACCCCAAGAAGTTCAGTTTTGCAAGAAAATAAAGTTTCAAGAAGGGACAAAGCAGGCAAGGAGAAAGGGGCTGAAGAAAGCCTGCACTCTGGTAGGTCACAACAAATGGCCAGCAGCCAGGGGAGTTCCTGCAGCACTTGTAGAAAGCGCAGGGCTGAGTGTTGAGAGGAACCCAAGGTCTGCACAGGGACTCTCCCAAGGCAGCTGAGCAACTTTGGAAAGCTCTGCAAGTCTCTGGGCACCAAGTGCTGAACAGGATACACCAAGTCTCAAGGCTGAGGCCCCCTGGGGCAGTCTGTGCCTCCATATTTATAGTTTCTTCACTGTTATTTGGGATATAGGATCCATCTTGCCCCATCTCCTCTCAGGGAGCTTGCAAGGCAGGAGGAGGTGGTAAGGTTTCTGGTTTGTGACCAGCAGAGGCTTTGGTCTCAGCTCAAGTGTGGTGGCTCTAAAAATCAGTATTAACCATAAGCCCAAAAGCATTGGGAAAAACTCACGTCCTACATTATACAGACAATGGAGATTTCACCTTTTGATCTGAGATATCAAACTTAATGATCCAGTGTAACTACTCTTTTGCAGATTGGTATACCCCCAAATCAAGAGGGAGGCAATTAATTTTTATCAGGAAGGACACAAGCATTTCTGGATTTGGGGAGCCGAAGGAAAGTCACACCAGCAATAAAATGGAAGACAGAAGAGATGCACAACTAGGAGCAGAGAGCTGTGCAGTAAGACACTAGGGATTACCAGGCTGCTGATGGCTGTCTCAGCCTAGGGTCACTGGCTCTGAAGCCCAGGGGAGTCAGAGCAAAGGCAAGGAGCTAGAAAGCTACTGTCTGTGAGGGCCACAGGTCCAGGGGGAACCAGCAAGCAAGCAGCCTCCAGCATAGATGAACACTGGCAATTCAGCAGCGGTTGAGTGCTGCCATATAGGAATGTAAGTCTTATATTCCAGGCCATCTGACTTTTTTTTAAGAGAAGCTATAAATGCACATGACATCTCCAGATTTCTAAGTAACTCAGTTTTTGTATATTTTGTTCAAGCCAATAGCATACTGGCCAGCTGGAAGTGGCACCTCTGGCTACCATTGTGCCTTTTCTGGATGCTAAAACAAGGCAGGCCCAGTGTGATAGGACAGAGGTTGGTGGGAGTCTAGAGCACCGAGAGAGGAGGAACGCTGACTGGCCTAGAGGAGGGGACCCAGTGAAGGTCAGCATCACCATGAGGCTCCTCCTAGGACACTTCAGGGAAGGGCAGAACCACGCCCAAAACAGAAGACAGGGACATATTTTGGTTCAAGATAAAACAGATTTGGGGTGAATGCAGAAAGCTCACACCAACTTTGGACTTACTGTGGTTTTCTTCTCTTAAGGATGTGGCTCAGTCCATGAGACTAGGTAACTAACCAGAACACAGCTTTTAGCTGGGACACCCACCAGGGACTCACTTCATGCTGGGATGTTGAACCTGTGGGAACACGGTTCACCAAGAACCCTGTGTAGATTGGAGAGGGGTAAGAACAGGGCCCTGGGTAACCCCAGGAGATGCCAAGGAAGCAGAGGAAAAACCCAGAAGATGGCAACGAGGTAGCGAAAAGCATCCAGAAGGAATGAATGAGCTTCATCAAAGGCCATAGAGGGGGTTAGTGAACACCCACAGATTGCTTGTTCACGAATATGGGGAGCTCTGTTCACCTTGCAGAGAGCTGAGAAGTTAGAGGAGACTGGGGAAGTGTCAACAAGTTTTAAAGTCCTGGGGAGATGTGGTGGTCACTAGAGATAAGGTGGGAGTGCACGGGACGATGGTTAGGGCATTTTTGCCTCAAAAAGGGGAGAGTTCATAAGTAGAGACTGACAGAGCCATGAGACAGGGAGTAAGACTGGGTTGAGGACACAGTTGGAACCAGTAGTCGCTGCCCTTAGTTTCTATGATCCCAGTTCAAATTGATTTCTCTTCTACCACAACACCTTGGTCATTTTCCATCATTTTATAATACATGAGGAGGTCTTTGAAAAGTCTTGAAAAGTATGTATTATTAAAAAAAAAACTATGCATGGACTTCAATTTTTTTTACAAAAATAAACATCTTTTAATTCCATTTTCCACGAACTTTTTGAAGTACCTTCATGTGTATGTTGCTTTTTGTCTATCTTCTTTCAGAAGAATGACCATTCTAAGACAGCAAAGACATATTATACTTTATATATTTATATATGAGGCTGGAACACAGTATTATATATGTAATACTATGATCTATCTATCCACTCTGGTGATGGTGACCTCTATTTCCGGAGTACAGTAGGTCACTCACTGAACCCGAAGGCGGAAGGCCTTGGAGATCTCATGTGTTAAACAAGATCTCCCTGGAAGTGCCAGTTTGCAACCTGGAAGGAAGGAGTTTGCGGTATGGGGACACTAAGACACGGGAGTTTGATTTCAGATGCTGAGCATCTCTAGACAAGGGAAGACTTGATTTAGTTGGAGGACTTTCTGCTGATGCTGGAGGTCACTGGATTTGAGGTGGTCGAGGAAGTGAGACTTCAGAGCATCACTCGCAGGGATTTTGGCCAAGAGCATGAGCCCACGAGTTAGGGAGAACTGGCTGGAATGAGACAATAGAGAGCAGAGAGCTGCGGCCCAGGCAGGGGTCCGGCTACCACCGCATCTCCAACTCTACCACATTACGCAACCTCCAACTCGCATTTAATCACCCATGTGTGGAAATGAAAATGCACACCCTTCAAAGACTGTGTAATTTCTGTCCTCTTAAAATTGCACTAATGTGTAAAGTTCAAGAGAGGTGGAGATTTTCTGCCTCCATTCAGGTTTTTTTTTTTTTTTTTTTTGAGTGAAAAATGGATGGCATCTTGGTGACCTTCAGTCATCGGCCTGCACAACGTTTTCCAATACGGTTTGAATAAAGCACCAAAACTTGGGGCAACTTTCATTTAGGCTAACATCTTTCTCTGCTGAAATATTTCAGACAGCACATAATGGCTCATTTAGAGATGCAGATGGCATTGGAAGTACCTTCCCTGCTGTAAGTGTGCCTGGGATACACAAATTAGCAAAGCTGACATCTCTTCCAGTTATCTGTGCTCAACTTCTGGTATAAAATCTCCACGGTACAAAATGATCAGATACATTGTTCCAGAACAGTTCAGAGAAGGAGGCTGCTTCCTGGCTTGGAAGAGGAAGTCAGACCTTCCAACACCTTTTTATGTGGGTGCTAAATCTAAGAACGCCGTCTGGAAAGTAGTCGAAGCAAGACAGAGCAGCCTTTGAGGTTCATTAAAAACACTAAACCCTCGGCAGCATCTTCCATAACACCTGAAGGTGGAGCGCTGTCTTATGTAAGAGAAACCTCCTCTCCCTGCTCAGTTTGTCGCCAACTGAAACACCTAATTCCGCCCAGAATTTCCAAGTCCTTTCGCCTTACCTGTAGCCACTAACCGGTCTCGCAATGCTCCTTTCTACGGATGATAGCAACAGCCAGGACCCGCTCACAAGGGCTTGAATCGGTTGCAGAAGCCAATGTCAACCACCGGTTACCTCTACAACGCCCAGGCGGAGATAACAAGTGAGAGTTCGTTTGTCTGCCTCTACCTGACGGCGCGCAAAGTACCGGGCAGGGGACGTGGGCGAGCAAGCCACGTTCAGGGTCACGGGCGCCAGCTGGGAGGGACGGACGGAAGGCGCCCCGGACTCGGGGCTCCCCGCCAGCCCTGGGTTTCCCGCGGCGGGCGCACCTGGACACCGCAGCCGCCGCGGCCGCTGTCCGCCCTGCCCGGATCCCACTCGGAGATCCCAGCGGGCGGGATGGGGGAGCTGGGCGCGCACTCAGGCTCGGCCGAGGCAGCCTGAGGAAGGCAGAGAAAGTTGCCTTCTCCTCGACGTCGGCGGCCCCCCCTCCGCCCCGCTAGCCTGCAGCCGCGGGCCGGGTGCAAGGTCGAGGCGCGGAGCCAGCAGCGCTCGAAGCCCCGGAGACCGTGCCGCGCTCCGGGGCAACGCCGGCCGCGCCCTCCCCGCGCCCGCGGTCGCGCAGCCGGTACTCACCACTCGCTCGGATCCCCAGGTGGCTGCCGCGGAGGGCAGCGTGGCCGGAGCCGGGCCGGAGCCGCGCTCGGCGGGGCGGGGGAGCCGGGGAGGGCGGGCGGCGGCGGCGGTGGCGGGGAAGGGAGGAGGCGGCGGAGGAGCCTGCAGACGCCGTGCAGCCCAGAACGCAGCTGGGCGGCCGCGGCAGCAGGGGCTTTATCACCGCCGCCGCCGCGCGGGCCCCCGCCCCTTCCTGCCGCCCCCGCCCCGGCCCGCCCCGCCCCGCCTTCCCGCCGCCTCCTTTGTGTGCCCGGCGGGCCGCAGCGTCCCCGCGCCGGGACTCCGGGACGCCCCCCTCTCCGTTCCCGTTCTCCCGGATGCCGCCCCCAAGGGGTCCGCGTCGTGAGACTGTGCCCAGGCAGCGCTTAGGAGAGCAGCCGACCCCGAGGTGAGGCGCCGACCCGGGCGGAACGGCGCGTGGGTTGCCCGCAGTGGGTGTGCGGATGGCGCGTCCCTGAGCCCGCAGGGCGCAGCTTGGCTGCCCCCTGGGAGACACAGAGGGACTCCCCAGTTAGGTGCCCACCCGTCCAGGGGTGGGCGTGAGGATGCCAGGACGCGGCCGGGAGGGGGTGGATCAGCCCTCGAGGCGCTTTGCAGGGTGCCCTGGAGCCGACTTCTCGCTTCCTCGGGACTCAGGGGCGGCGGCGGGGCGCTTCGGGCACGTGGCAGACGAGGGAACCCAGAAGGCTGATTCTTGGCTGCGGAGACAGCCTGAAGTATCCGCAGAGTCCTAGGGGTCCAGCCCGTCTCAGCTGGCGACTTCAGATGCTGGGACCCTGTGAGCAGCAGAGAGGCGCGGACGCCGGGGTCCCCAACAGATCGCTGCGGGCCCTGTAGCCCAGATCTTGCATTTGCAGCCCTCCTTTGCGTCGTTTGCGGGAACCCCGCTTGAATGACAAGTGTCTTTATTTCCAGAACCCTCGCTCTCAGGCCCAGGTCCCCCAGTGGGAGAAAGAAATGCCGCCCGTCTCCTTTGACACAGCCCTGAATTGAGGCTGCATCCGCTGCTTGGAGCAACTTGGAAGATGCCTTTGCAGCCCTCCGCTGGCACGCGGTGACCATGCTACGCAGCCTCTACACGGTGCTGGGGCCGGGCTCCTTTTAAAAGTGAAATCTAGGCTCCTCCGAGGGTGACCACAGTCAGTCCGTCTTTTTTTTTTTTTTTTTTAAGTTAGTTTTTAAAGTTTTTGGGATAGCATTTGTGATTTACGTTATAATCAGAGGCTTCCTTGCTCCATTAAACAGAACTGAACAAATAAAAGGTGAAAAGACCATAGTCCAGCAGGAAAGTAGGCCAGGGGCATAAACAGCAATCAAACAAAAAAGGTGTCCAGCTTCCTTCGTGTATGTTTTGAAATAATCACAAAGTCATTAAAACTGTAATAGAATATAATTGCTATCGATTTTTTGAAAGAGGTTTAAAACAAAGTCTGACAAAACAGTCCTGTTTGTTTTCCTTGAAAACAGCGTCATTAATATCACAAAGTGAGGGATCCATGGCAATATGATAACTTGTGGAAAGAAGGGTGTATTGTCAGTTACATGCATGACTCAGGAACACAGTATATGTATAACTATTTACCAAATGACAAAGAAACAGAAATTTGGCCCCCAAATAAGGAGGAAATGCAGGGGACAAAAAGCAAACCTGTTTACGTCACAGGCGTGCTAACGTCCTGGGCAGCATGTGAATCCCCTTTCCTTGTTCCTGCTGCTTGAAATGCACTCACCCCAGGAGCTGCTCCGGATTGCTCCTCAGTACTTCAGGTCACAAATCAGATGCTGACTCCTCCCGCCAGAGTTTCCTCTCTAACCTAGCACTTTCTTCGCAGGCCTTATGATCTAATTTATTTGCTCGCTGCTTGCTAATTTTCTTCCACTGTTTACCAGAAGATGCTCCCAGAGGGCAGGGAAGTGATGCCAATGCAACGTGACTTCCAACTTGTTCTATCCCCAGCGCCTAGAGCCATGCAACAGTAGTGGCTCAGTGACTATTTGTTGACTGACAGATGAACAAATCTCAGGTTACTAGTACACATGGTTAGGACTGCTCCAGCGATGGTGTTGTGACTTGGTTGGGTGAGGAGAAGTGAGCTGGAGCTGGGAGAAGTTCCAGTGGAGTGAGGGGGTACGAATGAAGAGGAAAACATTCAAAGATGGCTCAGTGTGTTAAAAATATTAGAAGTAGCCTCTTCCATATAAAGGGAGTTATTCACTGAAACTACTGGAGAAACAAACTAGGACTGTGACATGGAGGTGAAGCCAAATGATGGAAACTTAGCAGATTCCTTGCATCTGTTTCTTTCCTTTTCTTTCTTCCTTTCTTTCTTCCTTCCTTCCTTCATTTCCTTCCTTCCTTCCTTCCTTCCTTCCTTCCTTCCTTCCTTCCTTTTCTTTCTTTCTTTCTTTCTTTCTTTCTTTCTTTCTTTCTTTCTTTCTTTCTTTCTTTCTTTCTTTCTTTTTCTTTCAGATTTATTTATTTATTTGAAAATCAGAGTCACAGAGAGAGAGGTGTTCCATCCACTGGTTCACTCCCCAAATGGCTGCAATGACTGGAGCTGGGCTGATCCAAAGTCAGGAGACAGGAGCTTCTTCTGGGTCTCACACAAAGATTCAGGGGCCCAAAGACATGGACCATCTTCCACTGCTTTCCCAGGCCATAGCAGAGAGCTGGATCAGAAGTGGAGCAGCCGGGACTCGAACCAGTGCCGATATGGGAAGACAGCACTGCATAGGTGGTTTTACCCACTATGCCCCCATCCACCACTGCATCAATTTCTATCCCAATCACTTTTTAATTGAAATTTTTAATTGAGATAACTAGGTTCACAGGAAGTTGTAAGAAATAATATAGAGAGGGCCCTTGTTCACTTTGCCTGGATTTCCTCAATGGCAACACACATATTAACATTGATACATTGATTCAGATCTCACACACTTTGGTTAAATTTTCTGCAATTTTAAATTCTTAGTAAGGTTATTTAAAAGGTAAACCAGTTTTGAAATAAATACACAAACATTTAAAAGGGTTCAGTCTCTTGTTTTAATGGAACCAATGTTTTTCAAAAGAACACCTTTATCTTTCCAGTTAGAGCGTGAATAGGATCCTGATTCTTCATCTAAAGGAGACATTCAAAGTCTTTAGGATTTATCTTTTTGTTTAGATTTAATGCGTTCACTTCCCTGTTGCGTCCTGTCCTGTGGAAGGAACATTTTGAGCAATACTGTACATGACTTGTCAATTCTGAAATTCGACAGGAAGCAGTGTTAACTAATATGCTAAGCTTCGCCCAGCCGCTAATGTTCCTTTCTCTCTCCTTGGACATTGGATGGACCAACGACGAATGTCTCCCAAAGGAAAGGGATCCCAAACAAAGAGCCATTCTGCCAGCAGGATTTGCTGGGAATACCAACTATGCTCGTTACAGAGTGTGCCTAGCTGGTGTTGGCTGGCCTTCCTGACGCTGACCAAAGGAGACAGATCCACTAACCCGCGCTGCACTCTCTGTGACAGTCAAGTAAACCACTCACTTTGCCTCTCACCTTTAGGGGACTATCCCAGTGAAGTCGTGTTCCTATCTCATTTGGTAGTCAGAGTCAAAAAGTTCCTCCTCCAGTGTTTGACTCCCTGTGGAATGTGTTTCTCAGAGATATGTACTTCCGCTCCATATTTCTCTCCTAGCTCTACCTCAGTTTTGTTTAAGAAATACAAATCATTTAACACTCTTTGCAACTTCACATTCACAGCAGAATTCCACTTGTCCTTCAGTTACGTGGCTTGCCTTCATCTTCAGAAAGAGCTTTAAATTGTTTATTCCTAAAAAAAAAAAAGTGACCTGGAATTTAGCCAGCTCCAGCCAGGATCTGAGTTTGGCTTTGTATCCATAAGCCGCAGTTGGGAGAAATGCAAGAAATGCCCAAACAGAATAAAACAAATGATCTATTTAGTCTTGTTTCCTCCCTTGGAAAGAGTCCAGTGTTGAGTGCCTTGGAATAAATGAAAATCTCCCATTCCACCTCCACTGCCCCACTATGCACCCAAACAGTATGACCTTGTATTTAAGTAAAAACTGTCCTTAGCTCCCAGTGGGGATGACGGTGTTTCGTCTGGAAGATGACGGATATCATGATAAGAAGGTAATGACAGTTGCTTCTTTCCTAACCCCTCCTTGAAAAACATTACACCACAAGATTTCTTTTTACACATTATAGATGTGATTGCTATTTTGTAAGATTATTTTAACCAGAGAAAAAGAGAATTGCTGTAACAGTTCACTTATACAATTAGTTTCTGAGACTGTTGTGTTGGTTTGGGCTTTTTAGCTTATAAAAGACATTTGTCTTTTTATTTTCCTTTAAAGTTGGCTCTCAAATAAATCCAATTTCCTCTTTCTGTGGCTTCTGAAACAGATTAAATGAGAGCATCAATTTGTATTTTGCTATTGTCACGATTTTACCACGAGCTTCAGAGAAAAGAAATTCCCAAGTGCTGGACACTCCCAAGTATTATTTTCTACTTAAATCTGACAAATAAGATGGAACACCCAGGTTGAGCATCACTGTGGGACTGACACCTTCAGGCAGCAACCTGGCAGCTCTCCTCCTCCTACCACCAAGCAGTACCTGCTGCCCCCCTGCTTCTGTTAAGCCTGGTTAACCCATTCCCTTTTTCCCATTATCGGGCTATCCCCCCTCTCCCTCCCTTCCTACAACCCCCCTTCACTCTAAAACATTGCCAGTAACTTCCAATGCCACTTTCAGGAGCTTAGTATAGCATTTCCCCTTGGTACAGCATTTAACCCTGGTGTTTTGCCCATGTTTGGAAACTCCTCTGCTGATTCTCTCCTCCAACATCTCAGCTTTCCTTTCCCTTTCCCCTTCAAGTCTCGTTTCTCCCATAAGTGGGCACTGTGCAGCCGAGTGTTCTTGGCTCTCTACTTCCTTCTCCACATTCTCCATTGGCAGATTTTGATGTGTGACCTTAACACCATCTATTCCCCACCACCACCACCCCCATCCTCCTTCTTTTTTTTTTCTTTTTAAAAGAAAATTGCTGATTCTTTACCAATAGATTCTTTTTTTTAAAAAAATGCCTATTTAGTTATTTTTATTTATTTTGAAAGGCAGAGAGAGAGAGAGATCTTTAATATGCTGGTTTACTCTCCCAACCGCCAGCAACAACTGGGTCTGGGCCAGGCTAAAGTCAGGAGCCAGAACTCCATCCAGGTCTCCCACATGGGTGGCAGGTACCCAAGTACTTGAGCTGCCTCCCTGGGTGCACATTATCAGGAAACTGGATCAGAAGTAGAGGAGGCGGGACTTGATCTGAGGCACTTTAATATGGGATACAGGTGTTCCAAGTGGTGGTTTAACCCACTGCAAACACAGCACCTGCTGCCCCCACCTCCATCTTTTGATATAAAATCATCTCTTCTGTTTGTACCATCTTATTGGAAACAGAAGTCCCAGTGTCCTCATTTCCTCTAGCCAGTAGTTGGGCATACGACAAACCAAGTGGAATTCCCTCTCAGTACTTTGAATCTGGGAAGGAGTGGTAAAATAGTTGCAGATAACTCATCCCATTTGGTGAAACTGTGACTTCTTCCCACCTGGATCTCTGAGCTGTGCTGGTTTCTCCCCTTCTGAGTAAAGGTTCCTGGTTTCTGAGACCCTTCTCAACTCATTAGCCTGATTGAGTTCCTGTTCCTTGCCACTAAGGACCCCCATGCTCACACCCTAAGGGTATATGACCTGGCTTAATTCTGAGCGGATTCCTGTAAATACAGGTGGCCTTGACCATTGTCCCAAGGTCCCTCTCATAAAACCTCAAATGCCTTGCAGACACTTCAACCTAACACCCCACCACTACAATATTTTTATCTTCATTCCAGAACCAGTTCTTCCTGGGCACTCCCTATGTGTTCTATAGGAGTGACGATGATCTCAGACACTAAACCTAGAAGGATGGAAATGAGTTCTGACTCCTCCTCTTCCCTATATTCATTCCTTTTATCAGCTACCTCTTAATTGTCACCTTGGGAAGGCCATCTGACTTCCCTGGGCCACAGTTCTTCATGGTTAAAGAAGAGAAATAGAAAACCTTTTACAGGGTTCTTAAGAGAAAGATAAATAAGTCTGATGAAGAGTTTTGTGAAGTTCAAGAACTTTGTAGGTATTATTACTGTTGTTAATCCTGAACTACACAGTGGATATTTATTGATCCAGCTTGGTTCACTGTTGGTCTTTCCCTATACCAGCTTCTATGATCAGAATGTCTATGTCCCCTTAAAACTGATACACTGAAACTTACTCACCAGTAGATTATGTTAGGAGTGAGGCCTTTGGGAGGTGATTTGATGCTTTGCCCTCATGAATGGGATCATCACCCTTAAAAAAGAGCCTCAGGAGAGGCCCTTACCTTTTATGCCATACAAAGAGACA